AAGATTGGGACAAAGTCCTTCAGAATATCGTAATGAAACGTTGGCGTGAGCAACTTACGCGCTGGGCGCCAATAGTCAACGTTACTGTAATCGTTTATTTGAGAGCAAATAGTAATTTAAGCCCCAATAATGGAAAAATGTTCACAGGTTTTTCCAATAAGGGGCGGATATTAGATGCAACAGTTCCCGACGCCCACAGCTATCCTAATTTTTGCAGGGGAAGGATGTCAGAGGTGGGTGAAAGCGGAAAGAAATAGTACACGCACGCCAGGAATTTCTTCCCCCTGCAAAAACTGGGATTATGGTAGGCGGCACCTCGCATGCCCCACTTATTGGAATAGACCTTGACTGCGCTATACCGGCGAACAAAACTCGTGCGACTTTGCCTCGTCGCGTGGCTCAAAAATGTGCGCTCAGAATGACAAACAAATTCACTAACCTTGTAATAATGCCCTGTCCTAGCCATGCCTCGAGGTAGCTGTAGGCAAAACCTTTGCTCAGATGTTTGCTAGAGGTCAAGATTTTCTCGGCAAGTCGAGGTGAGTACAACATCACTACTGGCAAAGGTCCTAGCCAAAAAACCACCATTCGTGGAGTGTCAGGATACATGTAGGCCATGCCCATGACCTTAACCACAACCAAATTCCACTAGCAATTTTCTCAAAAAAAGACTCGGCATTAAATAAAACCACCTGATTGATGAATCCCTCCATATCTGGTTTGGCAATCAATGCATGCCCAATCAAGGGATAGGTACGTGGGCAGTTGATACCCTGAAAAATTAAAACTAAAGTGAAGTGCTGTTACCCTATAAGGGACATTGTGCTATGGTGTACTCAAAAGAAGAGGGAAACGAAACGAGACATCGCGGACTGTGCGGCTGGCGCGGTGACCTGGCCAACGCTGCGATTGAATCGTCGCACACCCTGGATACGGGTCCTATTTAGACCAAGAATTGAGAAGGAAAACAAATCCTGAATCAAGCAAGTCCTCATTTCCCCTGGCACCCCTCCTCCTTTCTAGGCTTGGGGCCTTCAACTTGCGCAGGCATACATAGTGCTGCCCCCCACCCCGCCCCCTCCCTCCCCTTCTCGGCTTCATTGGCACCGAATATCCCTACTAGGTCCTACTAGATAATTATAATCGCTAATGTCCTGTCGTTGTCCGTTCTGTCACGAAATTCGGTATCAAGCGAACAACAACCTACAGGGTCCAGGTCAAGTTTGGGATGGTATATACCATATCCCTAGAAGTAAAAAACACACATCAGCCAAGCGGAGCCCCGCCCACAGTGGGCGTGGCGTGCATCGGTTGATTTCAAATTCAGTCACAAAACAGCCTCGAGACCGGGACAAAAGTGGGCATAGGTGTGGGTTGGTAAGCCAGATCGAACTGAGGAGACCCACCCTCGGTGGGCGGGGCGTTCTCTAGAAAATGGGTGCTCAGTGAAAATATTCATAACTCGGTTAAGAGGAAGCCTACAGACACAGTAATAACTAATCGACCTTAGATACCAGTGTACCACACCCCACCACTAACATGACCTGAAGCAAATAAAGAAGGAACTACCTAGAACTCAGCATAACTGAAAACCGTCCCACCAGTGGCCAGCAACTCTTACGTGCAGGGAAGCAAAGCCCTAAGGTGATTTCCCACCCCGCCCTAGGATTGCCGAGGACCGAGCCCCAAATACAGGCGAGCGGCGGCAAGGACAAGCCATTTATCTCCCGTATCATAAATCGGCTCCGAGATGACTTAGAGACCGGAAAACAACGGATAGAGGTCAGGAGGGGAGGGGAAGCTAAATGTCAGGGATGGGCGTGGCTTACATCAAAGTGGGCGGAGTTTGCAATTAGGCTTATAACTCGGTTCCTAGGAGTCCCGGAGTCCGGGAAAAAAGCGTATGAGGGTTGGCAGAGGGAAAGGGGTCAACCGTTTGTTGGCGGGCGGAGCATGCACCAAAGTGGGCGGGGTTTGCCACGGTACTTCATAACTCGGTTCCAATAAGTTCCAGAGATGGGAGAAAAGTAGAAAAAGGTTGGGGAAGAGATGATAGCCGACTGATATCAGTGGCGACCCACGCGCCAAAGTGGGCGGGGT